AAAAAAAGTCATAGTATAGCATGTCGTCCAAAATCACGAAAAAAAGTCATAGCATAGCATGTCGTCCAAAATCATGAAAAAAAAGTCATAGTATGTCGTCTAAAATCACGAAAAAAAATCATAGTATAGCATGTCGTCTAAAATCACTAAAAAGTCATAGTATAGCATGTCGTCCAAAATCACTAAAAAGTCATAGTATAGCATGTCGTCCAAAATCACGAAAAAAAAGTCATAGTATAGCATGTCGTCCAAAACCATGAAAAAAAAGTCATAGTATAGCATGTCGTCTAAAATCACTAAAAAGTCATAGTATAGCATGTCGTCCAAAATCACGAAAAAAAAGTCATAGTATAGCATGTCGTCCAAAATCACGAAAAAAAAGTCATAGTATAGCATGTCGTCCAAAACCATGAAAAAAAATCATAGTATAGCATGTCGTCCAAAATCACGAAAAAAAGTCATAGTATAGCACGTGGTTGTTGCGGTATTCTCCTCTGGTGTAAAGAAGACACTCAGACTGACGTCATGGTCAACATCCAAACACAATAAACAACACACACACTTTAATGTTACTCATAAGTTTATTTTATTCACACAGCAGGATTCACACAGGAGTTATTGCAGCAGTACATGTGGAAAAGAAGCAACACAGAACCAGACATGTTTCACTCTACATATATGAGTCATGAACACACAGCAGAGAGTCTCCACCTGATGAACCAGAGACTCAACAACATGCTTTTATTGCTCAGGTTTCCAGAAGCGCTAAATATCATCAAGCTGTGCGATACAAAGTCAAGTCACATCGAATGCCTGAGCGCCCACTCTGAGTATGTACAGCTACATGTTCACGTACAACCGCACTAATTCAAACAGAAACTGCTCTTGTACGGAGACGTTCCTTTGTGTTTAGCGTCAATGACAGACAGACGTGTTTCTCTAATGGTCACATGTAGGTTGTCTCTGAGGGACAGAGGGGGGCGTTCAACACACTGCATCGTCTATAACCACGTGTTCATACGGAGCAGCTGAGCACGTCTCTGTTCAGTCATGTGTCACAGGGCTGAGTGTGTCATCTGGAACGTTTGTCTTGGCAACACGACAATGCGTTAGCTTTTTGTTTTTAGCATTTCACAAAGCAGGTCTGAGCGACTGTTCTGATTGGCTGTGAGACTGGAGGAGGGCTGACGGGTGAATTTCTAATCTAGTGTCGACAGAGATACAAGAACAAAATCTACAAGGCGTGAATATAGACGTTTATTGATTTATGAATGGCACAAAACTCTGATGAATCACGATAACACATTTCTTTTCTGGAACCATCATCATCATCATCATCATCATCATCATCTTCACACTGATTCTGGATCATTTATGTCGACATCAACATAGCAACGATGATCCTGGATCGACATCAACAAGTTATCCAGGGTCAACGTGATGATGATGGTCATGGATCAGCGTAAGCAGCTCTGTCCACAGTCCACATGGTGATCATGTTCTTGGATCAATCTAAACAAATTATGCAGGATAAAGACGATGATGATGATGATGATGATGATGGTCCTGGATCAACTCAGAAAAAACCCTTTTGAATCAGCTAGTAAAAAGGAGGGAACCTGTGTCTTACGCAGATCTTTGCAAAATGACATCATCATTACTCTTAATGTTTGTGAACAATATTTTAGCCTGTTGGCAAGTTTACTCGTTAGCATAGCATACCTAGTTAGCAGGCTAAGTCACTAACCCTGCAGCAGCTCATCAGGTTTTTGTTCAGTGTTACTGAGGATTTTGTTCGATTAAAACGATCTTAGCTCTGAAGAGGCACAGGAGCAGCACACTGATGATGTCAGAGGGCTGTGATTGGTTGATCACAATGTTGGCCCTGGGACAAATCTGGGATGTTGATGCGGGCGCGTGTCCTACTTGGCAAAATCACATCGTGCATGGGATATCGGCAGAAATCCAATATCGTGCGTCCCTGATGTACACACCTATCACGATGTTTGTAATGTTCATTCATTCTTTGTACAAGCTAAGAAAAAACATGTTGGCCGATCCTCACAGTTCATTTTAAAGCTAATATCAGGCGTGACCGATGACGTGCTGATATCATCATGCATCCCTACACTCTTCTACATTCTGACATGATAACAACATGTCAGGGCACGTTAGCTGCAACATGCTCGGCTGCATGTAAACAGGAGTATCCGTGGAATATTCACTTCCATCAGTCATGTAAA